ATTTCATTATAGTAATTGGCTTTGTCTACTCGAGCTGCTCTTTGAAATCTTCTGTTCAGCTCTTTTACCTTTTCATTCCTTCCATTTGCTTTAGCTATTCTCCACTCAAGGGCAAGGTTCAGAGTCTCTTCTGTCATCCCTTGATGTATATGGTAAACTCAAACCTCAGTGTTGTTTTTTGTAATAAAAATCATGCTGAAGCCTAAGAATATTATCATAAAAAACCCAAAGTGTAAAAGAGACATATTAAAGTAGGAATGCATTTTTCCCAAGATGCTAAATGAAAAAAGACTACAGAATTAAAGGAAACCAATTGCCATCCCTAGTGTAACTAATCAGGAACTATTCTAACATCTGGATGCTCTTTTTACTGAGTGTTGTTCGTTGAGCAAAGTTCTACACATTGTGAGAACTACACATTTGAACTACAATTTTAAGAACCACTCATCGACTATGTTCTGTGGCTATTTCTAGGCATGTTTTCTTATTACATATGATAAAGTAATATGTTTGTGACAAGAAACTGGTGGTGTATGGATAGCTAGCTGGCAACAGTGACAAAAGCTTCTTGATCTCCGTGTTTGTGGTGCTTTTCTATCACCTCATTTGAAGGACAATATGAAACTGCACTCTGCTTCTCGTAAAGGTAGTTGTTGTTATGTGCCCTCCAGTCGACCCGACTCATAACGACCCCTCCTTGGGTTTCCGAGGCAGTATCTCTATGGAAGTAGATTGCCCAACCTTCCTTCCCAGGAGTGGCTGGTGAGTTTGAACTGCCAGCCTTCTGGTTGCAGTCAAGTGCCTTAGGCACTATGCTACCAGAGATCCCTTGATGTATATGGTAAACTCAAACCTCAGTGTTGTTTTTTGTAATAAAAAATCATGCTAAAGCCTAAGAATGTTATCATAAAAAACCCAAAGTGTAAAAGAGACATATTAAACTAGGAATGTGTTTTTCACAAGATGCTAAATGAAAAAAGACTACAGGAACCAGGTTAATCCTGCAAAAGTGAGGAATAAGAGATATTAAATTAATTCTTAAATCACATTTAAATAATAAAATTAAGGCACTTTAGCTTGCTAATGTCCTTTACCCATTCTTTAAATAAATTCTTTATTAGATTGAATGTTTACACCCTGAGGACTCTGGGATCTTCTCAAGAAATAAGCCTGAACTATCAATTTATGTTAAATATAAATACAAAGCAAAATTTCAGTTTTTAAAAGTACACTGTTAAAAATTAAGTATTGTATCACTTAGAAAGTTTATAAGTTTTCACAATCAGTGTTTTAACACAGAAATCTGTTTATTAAACCAAACAAAACAGAGAAAATTATACCAGCCCTCAATTTTTGAATTTTCATTTAAATAAGCAAACTCTAAGTCCACACCTTAAAGATGTTTGTGCATCTATGTATTTCCAAAATACTCATATTTCAATAAGATTTTCACATTATATTCACCAACAGTATCACAAAAGTTCTTTTTTTTTTTGTTTACGTAACTGTAAGGAACAGTAATTCTAGAAACACTAGAAGAAAAAAGCATAGCAATGTCCACAGTTACAAGAAAAAGTGCACATTACTTGGTCACAATCACAGTCATTACTTGAAAAACTATATGTAATAAGTATTAAGAAATATCACTGATGCCTGAAACTCATTGTCAAAAGTGGAATTACATAAATTACATAAATGAAATAAGGCAAATTCAGGAATGCACAAGGAATTTGTAATCCAACCAAAGCTAAAAACAGAAAATAGTATGAGAAGCATGAACTAAAGTACTTCTCCCTAAATATTTTAAAATAGGCTTGCCTCAGTGCACAAAGAAAACATCATTCATGTGTATTCAACACTATAAAATAAGAAAGAAGGGCAATGTATGGGGAACAAGAGGGGACAGTTCATTGTAAGTTTGCAGCTGCATCCACTGAGAGTTCTTTACATCATTTTTACCTAGAAATTGGAAATTATACAAATCATATCAAGAGAGGTAACAGTCTTTTTGGACAATTTCTGAAGGAGATAAATGAAAAGAAAACTACACACAAGAGTGCAAATTTTCAGATTGTCATTTGCAACCTCTTAACATTCAGTCATCTACATCCAGTTGCTGCTAGAGAGATGGTTGGTTGTAAGACAGCAGCGGCAATCACGTGAGCAGATGTGATCTTTCAACGATATGTCTTTTTTTAATCTTTAAAAATTTCGTGATGAAACTGCTTATGGTAAAGCTGCAGTGTTCAGTGGGATGTTTGACATCAGCATGAGTGCAGAAATGCAGGCTTCTCTTGGAAGTTGTTCCTGATGTAACGATTTAAAGAACGTAGGCAAGGGTTTTCCAGCATTAAGTATTATTTTGTAGAAAGAATTTGGAAAGAGGAGAAGGCAAAGCTATGTGGAAAAGGTACTTACAGTAGTTTCTCAAAACAGTTTCCTTTAGGACCTATGAAAAAGTTACCAAAGTAAAAATGACCATTTTGAATGAAAAACAAGTTTTCTTTTTATAAAAATTACATATATAATTTTGTTTTTTAAAATACAAGATCCTTTAAATGTTGTGATATCCTGTTACAACAGGAAATGTGGCATTTAATTAATTAATTTATTTTTTGCCGGTTACTGCAGCTTTCGAGTCCAATGAGTCGGTAGCAAATTCCACTAATATTGCACTTGGATCTTGAACTTTTTTTTTTTTCCTTTTTACTATACCACAAGCTTCTTCTGTTTTATCCTTGAATTAAGAATATACAGCCTTTTTTGCCCCCAATATTTATGCTGACATATTAAAACAAAAAGCAATAGGCTGGACACATTAAAGTATCTGAAGTACTTCAGAGGTCAGAGTTCCTATGAAGCACCTTAACACATCACTTTATGGATCAAGGACAATGTGGCATAATGGAAGTATTTCTCTTAAAAGACTGTGTGGTAAGACCAGAAGCATCTCTGCTGGGAAATCAAAATGTCATTAGTGGAAACTGCAAATTTCTACCTCAGTGAATATGATCGTCATTTGACTCAGTTCTGTTGTAAAATAAGATTTTCCAGCTCATCTGCAGAACGCAATAAAAATGCAGCTGATTCTCGGTATCCTGCAACAAGCTGTCTTACAGCATTGATTTCAGTTGGACTCAACTGGGGTCTGGAGCTTGAACTACTGGAGGATCCTGAGCTGGTTGCCAACTGCCTCTTCATGCTGAGATCAGTGGGTCCTAGAAAATATAATCACAGTATTAGACATGAACAATATTTGTTCTAACACCTTGAATGATGAGCATGCAATAAATTACTGTTACAATAAATCATGTACTCTTTCATGATGCACTCATGATATCTTTGATCAAATACATTTTGTCTCAGAAAGAATAAAGAGTAATGTGCTGACAGTATGCCCAGCAATTTCTCTCAGACTCTTATTATGGAGAAATAGAATAGAGGAGCACCTGGGAGGGGCAATTAGTTAAGCACTCTACTATTAGCAGAAAGGTTGCCAGTTCAAACTCACCAAGGGGCACCTTGGAAGACAGGTCTGCCCATCTGCTTTGGAAAGGTCAAAGCCTGAAAACTCTACAGAGCAGGGTTGTACTCTGACACACAGGGGATCGCTGTGAGTTGGAATTGACTCGATGGTAACTAACAATAGTGAAAACAGTAAACTTGCCTCAAAATATACTTTTTAGAAAATCAATTTTTAAGTCTACTTTTCTATATGTTGTAGAAGGTTCCCTATAGTAGAGTAACGGGAATTACAAACATTTTTCATTTACTGCATTCAATAATTGTTATTTTGTTGTTGTTGTTATGTGCCGTCAAGTCCGGACCCGACCCTACTCATAGCGACCCCTCCTTGGGTTTCCGAGGCAGTATCACTATGGAAGTAGATTGACCCATCTTCCTTCTGAGGAGTGGCTGGTGGGTTTGAACCGCCAGCCTTCTGGTTAGCAGTCAAGTGCCTTAGCCACTATGCTATTGTTATTTTAGACCCCATCAATTCAAAACTCAAACAACCCTAAATTGTGATGCCAATAAATGTAGAGGACAAATTCTTCAATTTAGAGAAGGAAACTGAACACTGAAAGAGTTCAAGGACACATTTAAAGTACAAAAACTTTTTATGGTACAAAAAAACTTGGCTTGGGTATTTTTTCATCTCAGGCCAATGTTTTCTCCCATTAGGTTGATGAATATTAAGAAATGTGCAAACGTATGATGGTAGTTTGCTTTAGAAATATCCAAGAAACAAGTGGATAGTGCAAACAACACTACAACTGAGAAACTAGACTTTTGGAATACTGCTTTAGGCATTGTTAGAGTCACTTTGATACTTATTTACATATAACATTAATATTGCAATTTTTTCCCTTTGAGCTACTTAAACCAAGTCTGATAGGTATATTTTTGGCAATATTTTGTAAATTTTCTCTAAAAAACAGGCTATTTAAAAATCTTTAATTCAAGTAATTTGAGAGAATGCTTTACATCAACTCTTCTGGGATTATTAAGGTTTTATTATAAAACTAACTGTTCATTTTATAGTTCTTATCTTTTATTAAGCACTTGCTACAAGTCTGAAATCTAGAATGAGTAATAAATTAATTTAAAATACTTAAATAAAACACTATTAAGCACATGTTCTGGCTACTCAGTGCCGCTCTGACATGAATAAACCACATGAATATACCTTAACAAATAGGAATTTATTCTCTTACAGTTTGGAGGCTTTAAGTACAAGTTCAAAGTGCCAGGCTCTAGGGGCTGGGCGAAAACCCTTCAGCCTTGGCCTTCAGCTCTGCCTCCAGCTTCTGGGCCACTGAAGCTAGAGGCATCTCTTCACTCAGACAGCTGCTGGCTGCTGAGACTGCCAAGCCCAAGGTTGACAAGTAATAAGGCATAGTCCCAGTGTTACCAAACCACACAGCAGGCTATTACTTTAAGTCCATTGTAAGTTCTGAGGTTGGCAGAGCATGGCAGGCTGCTGGACAATGATACGGCTACATGCAGGGTCCAACCATGCCATAAGCTAGAGACCATTTCCAAACTGCTGCTTATATACAAGAAGCAGACCACATACCCAAAGCAGCTACTCAGCTGCTTGTGGTAGATCCTACCATAGAGTTGATTGCCAGTCTCATCATGGAGAATAACTATCACCAGCTGCCCAGCCACTCAACCAGGCCCAGCCAAGTTGACACACAAACTGAACTACCATAGCACATAACCAAAAACCAAACCAAACTCACTGTGATTTGATTCCAACTCATAGCGACCTCCATTGTGTTTCCCAGGCTATAAATCTTTTTGGAAACAAACTGCCTCACCATTTTGTCCATGGAGCAGCTGGTAGGTTTTGAACCACCAACCTTTTGGAGAGCAGCCAAATACTTTAACTACTATACCACCAGGGCTCCTCAAGCACATAACTAAATATGTTATATAAAAAATAAACTGATTCAATAAATTGAAAATATTTAACAGATTTTTCCCTAAACGTATTGTAACTTTTCAAAAAATGGTATTCATTTGGTGAACTAAATTTAAGGATACTATTTCAAACTTTTTTCTCCTTGAGGCATGATGGAGTCAGGTCAAGACCCAACTCTCTTCCACTGTCTACCCTGAAAGGAAAAGAGGCTTTATGTCTGTCAACTGAGAGGGAGATATCCCATGAGAGGGGAATAGCTTGACTTGCAATTTAATTAGAGCAGAAACAAGGCTAGCATACTAGAACTCTGACATCTGAGAGAAACTTGTTTCCACTTATGCAGTGGCCTTTCAAAGCTTTGATTTTCTAGCAGTGGTTAGCTTCTGTTTTTTCCTGTTGTTTATAAAATCATGATAGCAGCATGATAAGCTGAAAGAGAAAGATATGGAGAGTCATACTTGCAAACAAAATTACTTAAAAAGTGTTCAGGCAGATAATTGACAGCGATTAGTTTACTTGGAAAGTTGAGTGGGAAAAAGCAATCATCATAATATAGCAGGGGTTCAGGTCTCTGAACAAAGCCACTTTAAATTTTATGTTCTTTGCTTCATGTTTAAGAAATCCAGTGGCAGAATAAGTGTTTATAAAAAAAAAAAAAATATTCAGAGGCTTTACCTCTCAGCTATGCAGATATTTAGCATCTGGGAGGTTTGTTACCAATATTTCATTAGGTGGTATCACTTTTTTGTGATAGTTTTCCTGCCAAGCCTAGTTGCTGAATGACATCCTGGAGTTGACTTGAGAAAAAGGATGAGCTAGGGTTCCAACTCTTTTTGCCATGAGGGACTGTGACTTTATTCCCTACCTCTTATAAGATTCCAAACCAAAACGTGGTTTTCACTTTCATCCAGCTCATTGTTAAAAACAAAACAAAACAATTGCTGTTGAGTTGACTTAGACTCCTGGCCATCCCATGTATGTCACAATAAAACTGCTCTGTAGGCTTTTCAATCTCTGATTTTTTTGGGAAGTAGCTAGGCCTTTTCTCTGAGACACCTCTGGGTGGATTTGAACCTCCAAACTGTGGTTAGCAGCTGAGCATGTAAACCTTTTGCACCACTGTTACCAGGGCAGATAAACTCCAGAGAGTTAAAAATTGTAGAAAGAAGCCACTCACACCTCCATACTACTTCCTCTTTTCAAGAAAAAAGTTGACTTTATCTTGACTCTTTATAGATCTTCAGAACTAGGATTGAGTGTATGAATCAAAATTATAAGGAATCCTTCTTGCTGAATTTATTAAGATCGGGTAGTGAAGTGAAAAATAATGACACAACAAAAACACTCATAAATGGACAAGTTATTTAACTAGTGGCCACTCAAATAGTCCCTCCCTGTTTGTCACAAGATTCATTTCTGCCTCACTGAGTCAGTGTCATACTTGACAGGTTGACTTTAACCCCAAAACATTATAATGTAATTAGAATACATGTAAATTATGAAGTAAAATTTCAAATTTATAAACGTGCTGAATTTAAAGACATCTAGGAAAATATTCTTGAGGACCTGCTCCAATCACAGAGAAGGTCACTGAAAAGTTAAGAAGAAAGATAATTCAACAGATGGTTTAAAAGAAAATGATTTGAATATCAGAGGTTAAGGGAAACATTTAGGAAACATGATGGAGTCATTTTTGTATAAGTACCTACATTTTTACCAAAATAATGCAGATCTACTTCATGACTGTTCTGAAAAGTTGAATAAAAGCTAAGATATTTCATGTTAACATGCACCGGTGTTTGAAAAATTAAGCGCTGCTAAAAATTAATCCTTTATATATATATATATATATATATATATGAGCTCTGGTAGCGTAGTGCCTAAGGTGCTTGACTGCTAACCAGAAGGCTGGCAGTTCAAACCCACCAGCCACT